GCCACGTGAAATTGCACAGCTCATCCTAACATTAATAAATAAATAAAAACCGTTTAAATAAACAATATAATATAATACTAATATAAATATTTCTTAAATTTTTAATGCATATATATATAATTTGCTTATTAAATAATATTTATATATTTATAATATATATATATACAGTGGGTACGGAAATAGCAAATGGCTGCAATATAACAAAGAGTGAAAAATTTAAGGGGGTCTGAATACTTTCCGTACCCACTGTATATATATATATATATATATATATATAATATTTATATAATTTAAGAAGTAAATAAATATTTATATTAGTTGATTATTCGTTTATTAACTAATATAAATATTATATTTATTTGCTTATTAAATAATAAATATTTAGCATTTATATTTAGGCATGACAAATGAATGTGATTATTTATTAAAATAATAATAAATAATACATTTTCAACAACCTCAGGGCTGCAAAAGATAAAATTACACAGTCTAACTGGTTAAACTACAGCATTCTTAAATGAGCAGTTTCAGATTAAACTGCATTTGTTCAGAATTTTATGATTATTATACATGCCATTTTATGACTTAACTGACAAGACAACATGGCATATTTGTACTTTTAAAACTTTGTCACACTGTCTGACCATTTAAAATGATGTATCAAAGGAAAAAAGTGTGACTAAGAACTATGAAAAGCCAGACACAGCATGTTAAATATGCACTTTAAACTATAATCTTGTTGGTGATCATCTCTTACCATCTGTATTTTCAGTGCTTTTTTATAAAACTGTCGGATCTCCCAGTAGCTGAGGACGTTGCAGATCACCTTCACGAGTCGATAGACCCAGAAAATGGCTGCCATTATCAAGAGGAAGATGATCCAGCTGTTTCCTTGAATCCTGATTGGGAGAGGAAGATCATCACTATGATGGCAGCAGGTGATTGTGGGATTGCTCATGGTTCATGACATTATAAGAATAAAGTCATATATAGCTCAGCCTAACAAGCCAAACTTAACAAAACTGATGCTAAATAAATACTAAATGATAAGTAATACCCAATATGTGATTTAGTGAGAGAAAGGACATATATAATGTTACAAAAGATTTCTATTGCCGCTCTTTTGAATTTTCTGTCTTCAAAAGAATCCTGAAATCACTGTTTCTACAAAAATATGAAGCAGCACAAGCATTTTCAACATTGACAATAATAAAAAATGTTTCTTGAGAACCAAATCAGCATTTCGAAAATAATATGACTGACCAAATGAGAATGTTTACCAAGTCTTAATTACTGTATGACAGCACAAGATGTTCCTGAATGAGTCTCACTGAAGTGAGTCAGCTATGATATTAATATGTTTGTGTTGCATATCTGTGTCTGTCAACACCACATCTCTGTGTGTCCATGAACAGGTCTCTCTGTGTCAAAACACTAGGTGTCCATGAAAAGGTTTGCAAAGTAAAAATCTGAGAAACAAGCAAAATAGCTATTCAATGTCAAATGGACCAAAACATCCCAGTGTCTATTTAAAACCCATGAGCTCTACGTAATACACAGTTTCAGTATCATCTACGGCCACAGAAATAGAATGGCAGGGTCTGAGAGAGCTGAACATCCCTCTGCTGATGTTCACAACAGGTGCTTGTTTACAGCTTGCTTATTTTGGAGCCACTGTCTGAGAAGTAGGAAACGAATCAGGTGAAGCTGAATTGAGTTCCAGTGTGATGCAATGGATCACATGCGTGAAAACAGCATTCTCACCCAGTGCTTTAGGGCATGTTTGCTTTCAGGCTACTACGCAAATCGAGCTTGAAAAACCAAGAAAATGGCAATTATAACTTAAAGCTTTGAAAACTGAACACAAAACATGTTGCATTAAGATCCAAACCTGAAGTGAAATAAACCTTGAGTGGTGCATTACAATAAAAGTTAACATGCAAAATCAAAATATTTTATTTGTGATATCAGAAAACTGTCTGTCCAATAAGCTTTGTAAAAAGTATACCTATTTGTTATTTTCTAAAACATAATATTTTTAAAACAATATTGCACAAGAGCCAAAACCTAAACACTGAACTTTGCTTGCTTCAGTGAAAATATATATATATTTTTTTACTTTTTATAAACTAGGATTTTCTGTATTAATAAAATATATTTGAAATATGTCGTGTTACTATAATATTATTTGTATAGTAATATAGTATTTATTAATATTTTAAATTAGCTTTTATTTTTATATTTTCAGTTTTAATTTTTAATAGTCTTATGTGCTTTTGTCATTTTTATATTTTTTTTACTTTTTTAAATTCAGTTTTATATTTTCAGTATTCATTTTAATTAGTGAGTATTACATTCTTTATTTAGTTTTAGTAATTTTTATACTTCAACTTAATCTTATTTTACTTCAGTTAGTTGCCAATGCAATATTTGTCATTTTTTTTACAAAAAGTATTTTTATCTAATACTTACATCTCATTTAGTTTAGTTTTATTTCATTTAATAGTTTTATTTTGTGCTTTTATCCTTTTTATTGTTTTAATGATTTATTATTCGATTTTTATATCTCTATTTAGCTTTCATTTATTTTTAGCCAGTTTAAGTAATTTTAATACTTCAACTTAACCTTATTTTACTTAGCTTTACTTACTTATCTAATGAAAAACTAGCTAATGATACAAACACCGAATTGGTTAATGATGCAAGTAGTTGTTTAACTAAATAAAAAATTCAGAGTGACCAACAAACTGCTACAAGAAAAGCTGAATTCAATTCGCAATATAAGTACGCTCAGCGACGCTCTGCCTCAGTGCATGTGCCTGTATAAAGCGGACACACTGACCTCTCAGTGCACTGCTCGCTGGGTAAAATCGCATCAGGAAGGGTGACCTTGTTCCTGTCCAGAGGACCGAGGCTCTGACCCGTGTGGTTGACCACTCGGTTGGCAAAGAGAACATCATATTCCACACAGTTAAAGAGAAAAGTTGTAAACGTGACCACAAACAGGAATTGCCTGAATATGGGAATGCAAAAACAGACAGGATTAGTTCTTGCTAATCAGTATGCAATCCTGCCTTAAAGAATAACGCTTCAGGCTAAAATAAATAGGACTTACACAAGTTCAAAAAACTCTGATAACACCATACAGGCGAATCCATTCCTCTGATGGAAATGATAGATGTGAGCATGTTAAAGACTCTTGCATTCCAATGATAATTGAAACAGTTTTAAAGAAGTACAGCACTGTTCAGCCATTAATGCAGCCAGAGTGTAACGTAATATTAATGCCTAATGATGAATAGAGACAGTGTGTTTTCAAGAACAAGAGAAATGATACCATTCTGGGAGTTTATAGCTATTGCACAACTGCTGATTTAGGGGTGAAAAATGCATTAAAAAGCATGAATTTTCCTATTCAGCCTATAAAATAATACTGCATATTGTTTTAATATTTTTTAAAGGATATTCTTGTGAAGAAATTGTCGAGATTCTTGATATGATGCCACGGGTCTGCAATGTAACAAAGACATTGTTATTAAGTTAAATGATAAAGAAAGAATATGCTATACAGTCTTATATATATATATATATATTTTTTTTTTTTTTTTTTTTTTTTTTTTTTAAACACTTGCAATTTGTTTGTCATAATATGTAATGTAAAAGTGAACAATAATGACCTCCTCTGCCCTCTGGCACATGGATGAGTAAATCTTCCTCTCCTGGAGGTGAGTCTTCCTCATAATCTTCTATTCGCTGATACTCCTGGTACGTTTCAAAACCAGCCATCGTGTTTTACATTCTACCTCTCTATAATGTTCACCATAGGTCCTGAATAACAGATTTAACATTATAGTGGAATTAAATGTGACAACATACTAGAAACATCAGTCATACACTGTGCAAATAAACAACAAGAGCAAAACCAGCTCAAACTGAGTAAGTTCACTGTACTTACAAGACTGTTATTGTCTCTTTTCTGATAAAATCACAATCACATGGTCCGTTTCTAAACAGATGAGTCAAGGACAGACTCGAGTGCATCATTACAAAGACACAAGTTTTCTTCACAGATAACGATGGCGTACAAATGTATACATTATTAGTGAATGTTATTATATTTAACCATGTTATGCCGTGTCTGCAAACGGGAGAGAGTTTAACAGTTGAGCATCACACATCAACCTCATGCTGACTAAACTGCTCGTTGTTTGCTTATATCAATTTCTTTATTGAAAACATTTATATTAAAAGATTACAGAAAGGATTTTAACACGTAAATCGATAAATTGGTCTCACCATGCGAGCAGAGATGATCCTCGCCTTTGCTCTTCACAACAAAAACAGATATCACAACAAACAGCGCCTGTCGTCACGTTGGTTTCTAGTCGCGTCACTTCCGGGGAGACTTTTATCCTGACATGTAATGTAAAATGTATTAATACAATATTTATTGTACTTGTGTAATATGTACTTCTGCTGGAAATTTTATAGATTTCCAAAAGGTGTTTGCACTATTGTTATTTTTATTAAAAACTTTTATTTGAATATGCATATTTTGCCTATTCAAATTTTTTAAAAATAAAAATAATTTAATTCCCTGATTAAATTAGTCTCTATTTTCGATCCTTGTTGGTTATATTTAAGTTCTATTTAATCAATTTAACCTGCAAAAGTAGTAAATCTTTGACCAACGGACGGTTTTAAACAAAACAAAAATTATATGTAAATATATATCATTTAAAATATTATATACATTTATTTATTTATACATTATTACCATTTATAATCAATAATAAAAATATAAAATGTGTGTTTAAATGAAAATCGGAAAAAAGAAAGGGTGCGTGCAAATTAACATTCATTAAACATGTACAAATGTCATTACAAAAGGAATATGAATTAAAACAATAGCCAGTGATATGGAAAAAAAATATTATTTATGCTAATACAAAAAAGCGAATGTATTTTCACGCAGCGATGACGTACAGGGTTAGCGTGGGCACGCCGGGAATGGGATTGCGTAAACATGGCGGCCTACATGTAAATCCTTGAATTCATTTAGCTTTCTTTCTTTCTTCTTCCTGCTGGCATTTCAAAACACTACAACAACATGTTTCATTTTGCACGCTGCAGTCGAGTGACACGCGGCACTGTCACGTCAGATCGACTTTTGAACTCCCAAAAAACAAGAGATTTCACGATCCACCACCTTTATAGGTACACGATATTTATCTTTGTTTATTATATTAGATTGAAACTATTGTCTACACAGTTGTCATTTTCAAATTCAAAGTCTGAGGTCATAAGAAGATTTGTTTGCATTTAATTTTGCATATAAACACAACTGATCGTATATGTAATCAAACAGACACTGCATGTGTGGAATTAGGTTGTTTAAGCATGCAGAAGGTGATTTATGACATCTTATATAGATGTCTTAAACTAAAGAATAACTATTGTACGATAGTCATGCTATGCCCTTTGTGAAAAAGAAGTACACTTTAGCACACTTTTCATTAAGTGGTACCATGCAACACTGTACTTTTACATTATCTCTTGTATTTTAGGCGTGGCCAGCATACAGTACCATGGAGCAGTTCACAAATCCCATCCACACAGATCACTGTCAACACTCCTGCTCGCATATGGAGACAAGCTCAAAAAGTGCTCCGTCTAGCATCCAGACAGCAGCCCAGACCACCAAACATCACTCTGAAATTCATATTAGGACCTGCTGCTTTGACAGTGACCGCACGCTTGCTTGGTACTGTAGCTCACTGTGAAGCAGATGTGAACAATAACGTCCCGCTGGAAGTTCAGGCGAAAGAGAAGATTCCTGAATTCAGCTGGGCCATCCTGTGGGAGTTCGTTCGGCCCCAACTTCTTGCTCTTATAGGAGCCATTATCGTAAGTAAACAATTAATCTATTAAGCGAAGTTAATTGTGTTTTTTGGCCATATTATGAATAGTTTGGTTTATTGTGCAGTGATATCTCTGTCGTGTCCTCTTTCAGCTTGCGTTTGGAGCAGCAGCCCTTAATATTCAGATTCCTCTGATGTTGGGGGATCTGGTGAATGTCGTCGCTCGCCACATGAGAGAACAAGCAGGTCATTACATGAGAGACATTAAAGCACCTGCAATGAAGCTGCTCGGACTGTATGGTTTACAGGTACGTTAAGTCACACAGTCAAGCTCTATGAGCAATATTTGACATGATTAATCATTTCTTTTGCAAAATAAACTTTTATTCGTTTTATTCAACTTTGTATTCATCAAAGAATCCAGAAAAAAATGTATAACAGTGTCCACAAAAATATTAAGCAGTACAGCTGTTTTCAACATTGATGATAAATATAAATGCTTCTTAAGCAGCAAATCAGCATATTAGCATGATTTCTGAAGGATCATGTGACACTGAAGACTGGAGTGATGATGCTGAAAATTCAGCTTTTCATCACAGGAATCAATTACATTTTTAAATATATTCAAATTTAAAAAAACATTTTTTTTTTAATTGTAATAATATTACACAATGGTAGTATATTTGTCTTTCAGGGTCTGTTGACCAGTGGCTACATCATTCTTCTGTCTAGAGTTGGAGAGAGAGTGGCAGCTGACATGAGGACAACTCTCTTCACCTCTGTGCTTCGGTTTGTAATACAGTTTTTGTTTTAGATGTTTAAAGTGCTGAAACACAGGGTATTAGAAAGACAGAAATCTTTCTAAGCATCTTGTCTAAATGTCGTGTTACAGACAAGATGTTGCATTTTTTGATGCAAACAAGACCGGGCAGCTGGTTAATCGGCTGACATCAGACATCCAGGAGTTTAAATCTTCCTTCAAGTTGGTTATTTCTCAGGTAGGATGTTTTAGACGAGAGCAAGTGTGTTTTAAAACCCCTAGTGAGAATGTATAGACGTACCACATGCATTTGATTACGTAATATGTTACAGGGTTTGCGCAGTGCCACACAGACGGTGGGTTGTTTTGTGTCGCTGTACGTCATCTCTCCCAAACTCACGGGTCTCACTGTGGTCGTCCTGCCATGTCTGGTGGGGGCTGGCGCTCTCTTTGGTTCTTTTCTCCGTAAACTATCACGCAAAGCACAGGAACAGGTAACGGCACTCTGGAGGAGAAGAGTAGTTTTGCTGCTCTTTGTGTGCTAACTCCCCAATTTTCCTCTTTTAGGTTGCTAAAGCTACAGGAGTGGCTGACGAGGCTCTTGGTAACGTGCGAACAGTGAGAGCTTTTGCCATGGAGGATCGAGAACTAGAGTATGATTACAGATTCTCGACTTTTTTCCACATTTTGTGTGTCGATCGTGAGGGAAAAGTCTTACAGCTTTTAACTGTGTATTTCATTAAGTGATATAATGCTAATTTACCAATCTACTTGAACTACCAAAATCTGCTTATTACCTAAAAATCCACTGGTAATCATGTGATGAATCATTATGAGTTCTTCGTAAGTGGCCTGTTCATAAAACATGGCCGATACTTTTATGTACATGTGTCATACACACAAAGACAAAACACCATCAGGGTAACACACAACACTAAAATAATGCAATAAACATGAACTAAACAACAGAAAATGTAACAAAAAAATGCTGTAAATTACATTACTTATTACTTACAAAAATATAATCATATGTGATGTGATTTTTCTGTTTTTCACTCTGAATTATATGGTTAATAAATTATAAGGTAAATTATAAATTACGATAATAAATCATTTTTACTTGCAAAAACCATGCATTTGACAGTATTTTATAATAAGCCTACATGTAATGTGAATGTAAACCATTTACAATTTTTACTATAGCATTTTACAGTTTTTCCTGAACAAATTACAAACATTTTTACCGTGTATGGTCTTTTTTTTTTTGTCCAACATTGATGTACTAAAGCTGATATTTTCAGGAAAATAAAACTAATCAAAGCTTTTTTATTATTCAACAAAACCTAGCAGTTCTGATATTCACCTTCTTTCACAGGATCTATGCCGCTGAAGTCCAGAAATCAGCTGTGATGAATGAGACGCTGGGCACAGGAATTGCAGTATTTCAGGGCCTGTCTAATATTGTCCTGAACTGTGAGTAATGATGCACTTTCCCTGATTCACAACCAATTACCACATGAACTAGAGTTGTTAAATATTTCCCTTCTTCAACAGGCATTGTTCTAGGCACTATTTTTGCTGGTGGGTCTTTGATGGCTCGTAATGACATGTCGCCTGGTGATCTAATGTCATTTTTGATCGCCTCTCAAACAGTACAGAGGTGGGAGTGTGCAAAGAGTCTTAATTTACATTTGATCCTACACATAATTTAGAAGGAACTAACATTCAGCTGAACCAGTGTCTATAATATCAAATGTAATAGAATCGCTTCTCTCTCTCCATAGATCTCTTGCCAGCATTTCAATTCTCTTTGGACAGGTGAGGAGAAGGTATTTCCAAGCATTCTGTTACTTCATATATATCGTATGTAATCTATGTGTGGTTTGTGTCAGATGGTTCGAGGTATGAGTGCAGGAGCTCGTGTCTTTGAGTACTTGGCTCTAGAGCCCACCGTTCCTCTCACCGGAGGAGGTCGTATCCCTCTCAAGTCTCTGACGGGAAGAGTTGACTTCATGAACATCAATTTCAGGTAGGTCTCTTGTTTGTTCTCATGCAAACATTACAAAACCTGAATTTAATCTAAAGAGTTTTATTCTCTGTTATTTGATGTTTCCTGCAATGTTTCTCAGTTACCCAACAAGACCTGGAAACCAGATCCTTAATAACTTCAACCTGACTCTACCTCCCTATAAAACCGTTGCTATTGTTGGCGAGTCAGGCGGAGGTAAAGTATCTATCTATCTATCTATCTATCTATTTATCTATCTACCTATCTATCTATCTATCCATGTGTCTGTCTGTCTGTCTGTCTGTCTATCCATATGTGTGTCTGTCTGTCTGTCCGTCCGTCCGTCCGTCTGTCTGTCTGTCTATCTATCTATCCATGTGTCTGTCTGTCTGTCTGTCTGTCTATATATCTATCTATCCATGTGTTTGTCTATCTATCTATCTATCTATCTATCTATCTATCCATCCATATGTCTGTCTATCTATCTATCTATCTATCTATCTATCCATGTGTCTGTCTGTCTGTCTATCTATCTATCTATCTATCTATCTATCTATCCATGTGTCTATCTATCTGTCTATCTATCTATCTATCTATCTATCTATCTATCCATGTGTCTGTCTGTCTGTCTATCTGTCTATCTATCTATCTATCTATCCATGTGTCTGTCTGTCTGTCT